TAACCATCCACGTGTCTGATGGACGAGGCAGTGGTATCCAATTGTGGGTGACGCAAACAAATCTAATGTTTGTCAAGAGTTTAAATTGGGGGAAGCGCTTTTCTCCTCAGTAGGGTACTACTAATACTGTTTACCAAGAAAATTAATTGACCCCTCTTTTGATTTCTTCTCCCAAAAATCTAGGGTTCTTTTGTTTCTATTCGTTTCCTTTCAATTTCAACAGGTGAGTGTGTGTCTCTGTCATTTCTTCTTCTTTTTTTTTTTTTGCTCATCTTTTTATTATTAGTCTTTTAGATTCTATTCGGATTTAGCAACTGATTCTCTTGTTCTATATCTTCTTATTGATTTCACCATACTCAATTTTTTTTCTTTTTTACCCTTAATTGTTGGTTTCTAGGGTTTCAGTAATTGATTCTCTTCACGGGAATTATTTGGGGGTTGGGATTTTGATGTCCCTTTGTTGTGTTTTTGTTAATGGGTTTCTGGATTTTTTTTTTTTTTTTTGTAGAATTTGATCTTTATTAGGTTTTGGAATTGGTGAATTTTAAGGGATGTTGAATGTGGGGATATGGATATGTTGCTTGTGGTCTGGATGGTTGTTTCTGAGAATGCAGGGGAATGGGAAGAACTTTGATTTTTGGTTCTTGAGTCAAAGTTTGTTATTTAATTGCAAAATTGACTAAATTGAGCTTCAGATAACTTTTATTATTATTTTTTTATCTATTTTTGGTAATTGTAACTTGATCAAGGAAAACAATAACTGATTTGGATCTTTAAAGTTTTTAGTATTTGGAAAATCTTGAATTGACCCCATCAATTAAGCTACTTTTTTCTATTTCTTGATCTATTGGAGCAGGCCTGTGGTTACAAATCAGTTTTCCTTGAGGGAATTTCAAAGCATGCAGTCAAAGTCGGACAATAGAAATCAATTAGAACCTGATTCACATGTTCTTCTGCCAAACTCGGTTTATTCTGAGCCCTGGTGGCGTGCGGCTGGTTACAATCCTAACTCCACTGGACTGAGAGGTGAAAATGTGTCCAATTCGTCTTCAATGGAATGCCCTAATGATTTGGAGTCAAATGATGGCCAGTCACTGTCAAATGGTATGCTGGATGAGGAGGAGGATGCTAACAAAGAAGCACAAACTACTGCTTCTTCGCAGTCAGGTAGTTCATATTACTGTGCTAGTAATTTGCCTTGTGTGATTATTTCTCTAAAGAAATAGAAAAAAAGGGAAAAGAAAGTCGTTATGTAAAGCCTTCTGTTAGGCAATGAAATTGGGTGTGGACTGTTGTAGTTGATTATCAATAGCATAGAGAACGAGACCATGTAAGAACACAAACCATGCAGAGTGCATATCTTTTATTTCCTGACATAGTTGATATGTTTGTTGGCTTCTATGAGGATGATCTTTCCCTCTCCTGATGGAGAAGATACAGTTTATGATTTAGGATACTTATGAAGATTTATCTTTAATTTCAGCTGGAAATAGTGGGCAGAAACATCAAAATTTGACACATGTTACATCAACCGTGTCTGCTGCACACAGTGATTGCCTGACACAAGCTCCCCAGCTTGAACTTATTGGTCACTCAATTGTAAGTGCATTAGGCTTAAGATTTATTCATGTCTGAAAGTATAGGTTTCAAGCTTATGTGTTTAGTATGGACAGATTCTTACATTCTTTTAATTCTTTCCAGGCATGTGCATCAAATCCATATCAAGATCCTTATTATGGGGGCATGATGACAGCATATGGGCATCAGCCTTTGGTATGTAAACCAAATCTCGTGTGGTTATTTTGCATAATGATCTCCTTGATTAATTTATCTGTTTAAAAAAATTATAGTAATCTTCATGAGAAGCCAAACAAATGGTGTTTGAACTTGTGTGTTTTGATTAATTAACTGTACTTCTAGGGATGGTTTTGCTAAAACTAAAAGAATAATTTTAATCTTATCTATACTTGTCATGAAATGAAAAGCATAGCATAGGATCTCTAGATTTTTTGAAATTGAAAGAGCATTAATAGAGAGCATTGGTGTTTGGTACTGATGATCTTCATTTTCTAAACTGTGCCAAGACAATGGGTCAAAAACATTTTAGGTTTTTCTTTCATACCAAGAAAGTATATATCTTACGGGTTTCCTAATAAAAAGGCTTGCGATGACCAGGGTTATCCTCATTTTGTTGGAATGCCTCATGCTAGAATGTCTTTGCCCCTCGAGATGGCACAAGAACCACCTGTATATGTGAATGCCAAACAGTACCCAGGAATTCTGAGACGACGACAGGCACGTGCCAAAGCAGAACTTGAGAGGAAGCTTATAAAAGCCCGGAAGGTATATAGAAATGCTGCTTTTGATCAAGCTTTATTTCTTGAAAATAAAGAACGAATTGCCAATTTCAGTTATTGATGATGCATCAAATCTAATAGATATCATTATGTAGGCATCTGGACTCTTATTCTTATGATAATTGCTTCCATCTCTTTAATGTCAGCCATATCTTCATGAATCTCGCCACCAGCATGCTATGCGAAGGCCAAGGGGCACTGGAGGACGTTTTGCCAAGAAAACTAATGGTGATGCCGCTAAGTCTTCTGCTGAGGAAAAGGGAACTGGTTCAGGTCCCATCATTTCTCCTCAGTCTGCCACTTCCTCAGGTTCTGAACCATTGCTGTCTGATTCAGCTAAAAGCTGGGACTCCTCCATTAATCAGCAAGAAGCAAGAGGATCCCAAGTGCATGACATACCTATTGTAAATGGCAGTGGTCATTACCAGAGTCACGGTGGCTTGCAGGCCCCGTCATATCCTTCAAAGGGAAGAGGAGAGAATGGAGACTTTGGCCAGCGAGGGAGCATCTCCTCTAAGCAGTCTTCACAGAGGCCTCTTGCTATCCAGTGAACCCCTTGTGTTGGGTGGGTGCCAAGATGGAGGTTTCCCACCCAAACATAGGGCTGTGAAGTCATTCTTGGCAATCCTGTTGTCAGGGCGGCAATTCATTCTTGGCTTTGGACTTGTGTTTGTTTAGGTTGCAGTGAAAGGGGAGAAGAGATGGGTGGGGCTTTGTTTATGTTTGCCACAGCTTCATTCATCATTTTTTCCATTCTTCATCATTGTACAGAATTGAATAAACTAAAAACGTAGCTTAATTTGTGAGGATTCCATACAAACTGACAGAAACCTGGTTTTCTGTGAAAACGTCATTTATTCTATCAAAACTTGTATCCTGTTTTAAACATGACCTTTTAGGAAGTTAAGTTTCTCAAAAAAGAACCGTCTTTTGACATTCTTTGTGGTAGACAAGTAGATAGCCTGCTAGGTTTCAGTACCCCTGCTGTCATCTAATTGTAAACGAGCACTTTGCAGAGGAGGCTGCGATTATGAATGCCTCTTGTATGGATACTCACCTGCGTTCAAGGAACGATCTCTTCACAAGTTCACAAAACCTTCCTGTTTTCGCACTGACATTGGCTTCTCATCAGGCCCCTTTCTAATCATTTGCTCATAATGACATTTACTTCGCCTTCAATTCTCCTGCTCTCCAGCACAAACCCTCAAAAATGGATGAAGGTGGGAAACCAGGGTGAGTTTTCTGATGAGGAAACTTCACGAATCAATCACCCATCGTCATAGAATCACAACGAAACCTAAAACCCACTTCTTTCCATCAATTAGCGCGAAAATTTTCTCAGGTGCGTTCCTAGTGGAAATGGTAGAAATATGGATATCAAATGAACTGTCTTACAGTTAGCGCTGTAGTCTATGGGAAACCACAAACTTATCCTACTAATATTTTATTTTTATCGTAAAATAGTTTTACACTCAAAATTTTAGAGAAGATTCAAAACAGGCACTACAATACCATCTACTAGGCATGTGATGGTTCTCTGTCGATCATCATATACTATCATGCTGATGTTGGTGTTGGTCAGTTTCCTCAACACTTACCACGTCTTCACCTTCTGGTTGCTCCGATACCGATCCTCCTCCCTTGCTATCTGGAGGGATAACCTTCTCCGAGCCAGACTCGCTTTCGTTTGAAAAATTGCTGGCAGTCTCTGTTGCATTAACCACAGGTTGTTGTTTCTCCATCATCCCAGAGAGAGCCAGGCTTGGAGACCACTCCAGGACATCATCAATTATGTTTGATACCCGCTTCTGATACCTGCAAGAGTAAAATTGGGACACATTACATCTATGCACAACAAGAGATTCCATAACCATTGGCTGAGAGAGAGATTGAATGCTTTATTTACTATTTTGCAAAAATCCTCTAATATTTAATGTGGATTATCAATTGACAGATGATCTTAAAACAAGTAAACATTATCAAGCAAAATCTATTCAAAATCCCCATCAGAAATTGCCTCAAAAGGCATTTATGTAATCAGTTCATTGTCCGGAAAAACAAAGGGCAGATATACCTCTTGAATATATAGTTTCTAAGAAGAGCAACTGACCTGGCTCTAGCAGCCTCATCAGGAGCATGGTGCCTTAGCAAAAGGATGACCAGCACAGCTACTATTGCATAGAAAAGTCTTGCTGTCCATTTTGGTGGCTCCTCCTCATCTTTCTTGGGACAGAAACGGAACAACTCTCTCAGAGTTGCTTCCTCAGCAAGGATGTTAGGGAAGAACCAAACTCTCTTTCCAAGAATAATCCATGCAGCACCAAATATTGTGGCTCTCACTGCATAATCAGCAGAGGAGAAAAAAGACTCAACCATCTAGTGATGAATATTCAGGGTGATCCCATGGTGTCAGCTTCTTTCTGTTGCTAAATCAAAGAAAATGAAGAAAACAGTAGTGTCTGTGTGTGGTTTTGATTTTTTTTTTAGAAAAAAAGAATCCTAAAATTTGACTGAAAGGACTTAGAAAACACCATGAGGAACCATTGTAATTGCACAAAAACAAGCAGAATAATAAAAATATGATGAACCCAGCAGAACTTACATAGAAGCAAGGATAGAATCAACAGAAGAATCCCAGCACATGAGTAGAGTATTAGTAGTTTGCACCGATGTGGATATACAGGAAACAAACAAATTGCAAGTGTCAACACAGGCCACAAAATTGAGAGAAGCGTTTGCCATAGTGGCCTCCGTTTTACAAATGCCCATGCAAAGAAGGCATCATTTTCAGAAAAAACTTGCTCCTGCAAAAACAACCACAATATTGATAAGAAAATGGGGAAGGCATAGCCTAATGGCAAAAACGTCAGTGGTTCTACCAGATCTTCCTTAATAACCAAAGTTTTCAGAGCATGTCTAGATGTTAGATGTACAACCATTTCCTAAGAGGCCATCAACAAACTGCACGGGAGAGGAATGTTGAAAAATTCAACCCTTAAAGCACCTATTTAATGAAAATAGTAAGTAGCATATAAAAAATTTTAATCTTAAACAAGTAATAAACTCACAGGGAAAATCTCCAAATGTGCTGGCCAAGTAGACAACTTTTTCTTCCCTGGACGAACAGTTTTCACCACACGGTCACATCTCACCAGAAGATTCTTTCTTAATAAAAAGTTGGCAATATCCTCAGCTTCTAGATTTCTTTCTGATTCCAGTACTTCTTTAACCTCTGGATGGTTTTTCAAAAAGCTAACAAAATCCTTCCCTCTAAAATATTCGACCCGTGTTTCCTGTAAAACAGCCCATCTAGACACCAATTCCTTATGGTCCCTCACCTTCTCAGCAAACAACTGAAACACATCTTTCTTTGCAGCTTGTTTCTGCCCAAAATAAGGAACAATGCACAAATAAATAACAAGCATATAAACTCAAAAATTGTGACCCAGTAAAAAAATTGACCCCCATAACCATATAAACAAGTCCAAGTCCCAATAAAATTTCTTCAAATCATTTAGAAATCATCAAGATCAAACCTAACGAAGAAATATCAAATAGTGAACCCTAAGTGCATGCCAAGCCAAGGCCACAAATAATGCACACTACACTATCCCAAATCCAAATAATGGCATTGTACATTTGTATACAAGCATGCAATATAAGCTACATGAACCTAAGGACCATATTTTCCAGAATTCATAGTAAACAAGATCCAACGAGGTTCAATGGGATCTAAGTTCTACTTTGTTTTGTTGCCAAGAAAATTAAACAGAACATAAAAAAAAAAACAAAAAAAAAAAAATTTTCCTTTCCGTGATTCTCTTACACCCAAAACAAAAAAGCAGGCGAAAACGTCAAAGAGACATGAATCCAGATGCATTTACAGAGTGAATTGAATTTCACAAGAAATGTATCATCTTTAGAAATTGAAAACCCTAGATCGGGGGGGAAACGGAGGAACAAACCCTAGGAGGGGTGTCGGAGTTGGGATCTCTGACGCCATTCTGTGAAGCTACCGATGATCGTCTCGCCTTCTTCTTCTCTGCTCCTCCGGGTTTCTTCATCTGTGTGTTTTTGGGCATTCGTTTTCAGTGCTACTCTTCTTCCGCGTCTTTAGTGTACATGTCATATCCTGCACTGCAATTTATTAATGAAACGACCCCGTTAACTTCACCTTTTATTCACATCTATTAGCCAATTGAATCGCGCCACGTCAATTTATTCCCTTGTATAGGCAGCTGACATGGATTTAAAAA